TTCGACAAATCCAAAAATCGGAAGACTTTTTAAAAACAATTGAGAAATTATAACATTACGAAAGAAAAAAAAATAGTTAATTAATTAAATAGGTTCGAAATGTTTAGACTGAATATATGAATATAATACAGGAATGGAAACTGATCAATAAATTAACTTTTCGATCTTCCTTCTTTATAAATAATCCTCATTTGTTAAATAATTCTAAATAATTTGTTAACGTTTAAAAATTTAGAAACTTTGTTGAATATTCAGCTCGTCTTGAAGTATGCGAGAAAATATTACATTATTGTTACAGGAATTGCAGTAATTGTTCACGAATAACAATTGTTCGCAGTAAATCAAATTATTAGCATTTTACGATAACAATTAACAATTTAAAAATTGCGCTAAGAATTGTAATAACAAAAGAAAGTAAAACTAAAAAGTATTAAAATTTAATTCGAAAAACAATTGCAATAAAAAAATTATGTTAATCAGATCAAACAGTAAAGTTGAAGAATTATTTATTTATTTCACAGAGTTGGGTAAAATAAATTTTTTCTAAACTTAAAACATATTTCTAAAAAAAAAAATCCTAAAAACTTTCGGGCGTTGTTAATTTTCTTATTAATTAATTATTCGTTTCGTATATTTTTAATACATGTATAATTGGTGCCAATTTAAATGCAACAAATTGACCTTGATTGTCGTAAAAATTATTCTTTGGCCTTTCCAAGAGAATCTGTATGATAAACAATGTGTAATAATTATTTATTATCGAACGAATTTTTTGTGAAATAATTTTCAAGGCTGGGCGAAATCGAATGTTGCTATTCTTCAATAATTGTTTTCTAACTTGTTATTAACCATTTTCTAAAATCATTCCTTAAGCGTTGATTTGTTTATACCTTAACAACTAAATCTTATACATATTGTTATTAAATATATATTTTATAAAGATATATTAATAGAACTGACACTTGCTACGCTCGAGAAAACTTACTGTGTTTAAAATTCAAATTAACAATACATTATTGTAAATAAAATGCAAAGTATAATTTTCGATTAACAAACTACATAAATAAAGAATAATAAAACGCTACCAGACATGGGAATGAGACTTGGATGACTTTTTTTGTTAATTAACAATAAAAAAAGTCTCCGAAATTCAAACCTTTGCCTCATGGCGGGATTACTTTGTTATTAACATACAGTGTTAATATAATAAACATTAATAAGCAGGATTAACATAGAAAAATCCGTCTTGGATAATTAATCCAACCCTGGGATAAATATTTTCAAAAATGTTATTCATCCGATATTTTGCAATTATTCTCGTATAATTTGTTTAAAAGCATTCTCGTGCTGCTTTTGGATTTTTTAACTTCGCATTTTGTTTATAAAGCATGAAATTCCAGCTCGGAGAAAATTTCTACAAATGGCGTGACTAATATGAAAAAAAAATTCAATCGTTTAAATAAACCAGGCCATTTGTTAATTACCGCAGCTAATGAACCGTAGTGAATGTAATTTTAACGCCAATTGAACCACTTAAGACATGTCGACAATTATTTAACAATACGGGAAAAAAAGTATTACATGTTCGGTTAAAATTTCCCCTTTTTTATTCCACGCATTGATAAATTGTTCAAAGTTAGTCAATGTTAATAATATTAAGAGATAATCAAATTCCTTTTATCTTAAACCAGAAATATTCCTTTAATTAAAAATTAAAAAGATTTATTAAACAAATGATATCTTCACTTCGATGAAATTTTAATGAATTATAGAAACAGGGTTGGCCATTTATATTATTAAATGTATATTCAAAATGCAAAATATATTCTGCGGAGATTAAATAGAAAAACTTCTAGCCTTCGCTCACAATCTATTTCATGGCTCGAATGCTAATAAATTCTGCCTTTAAATAACTTCCAAGAAGATTCATACATCGAGATATAATGTGGTTAAATTGTTAATGAATATAAAAAGCATGCATATACTTTCAACGATTAAAAAGTGTAAAATATATGTATCGGAGGCACATAATCATCGATCAAGTCGATTGCACCCAGGTGACTGTTTCTGTAACTCGTTCAGGCATGTGAATATATAATAAACAAATACATAACATAATAAAACAAATAGATCTGGTTAAATACTTGAATAAATAAATACTTCGATGAATAAACTGGGAAGTATATTTAATGCGATCACTAGTCCTGCCGATGGCATCCTGGCAACTTGCTAGCTCGTTCAAGTAACACGACAGAAAGTATCATAACCTCTAAAACATAGGATTAACAGTATATTATAATATAATCCATATTAAATATGCATACATATGTTGTATCGATAAGATGAAAAATATTTCTGTAAATATACGTAAGACTGGTACTGTCGATTGCGCACTGATAACTTGCTACCTCGTTTGATTATTAATTAAAATGTTAATACAACTGGAATATCAATTGTTAACACAATTAGATTAGATGTGTGTTAAATAAGTGAATATATAAGTATATCGATGAAGATAAAAGTGTAATCGTAGCCAAGAGATACGTAATATAAATATTGTCATTCGCTTAGTTTTGTTCATTGTTATTTATTCCTCTTTTAATTGCAGTTTTAATTAACGCGTGTTAATTAACAAATGCATGTAATGTCTCCTAATAATGTATCAGGAAATAATTTAGAAGCGATATTGATAATATTATGTGCAAAGCTTTACGAAGACCTAACATAACCTGTCTCATCCAATGAAATATTATCGTGAAGAGTTTTATAATTATTATAGATTATTAGTTGATATATAGAAGATATTATGATGTAATATGCTGTTTATAATTAAACGAATCGCCTTCAGGTTAGTACATATAGTAATTTCTATAAAAATTGGAAAAACCACATTTCGTTTCGGTCGTCATGAAAATCTTATTCTCTAACCAGAATATATTTTTTATATTCACCCAGCAGAGAAAATTAACTATGCATAAATGTTTAGCACGTGTCTACATATGCAATATAGATATATCCTAAAATATATTTTCAAGAATTAAATCTGTACGCAAGAAAGTTTTCAGATACGATCGATGAATTCATCGATAGAATGTATAATAATGTTTCGTTTAAAAATACATTAGAATTTAAATCCACTTCTTAAGAAATATGGTCCACTGTTTGTATTTTAATTATATTTAGAGCGATAACATATTTCATATTTTTTAATAAATATTTTTGATTTCATTTACCCAACCCTGAAGTAAAAAGAAAACCAGTGATAAGGAGCTTCGATGCTTTTGGAATACGTAATAAATTATGCAGATACTGCTAATGCATCGTAACAATTATAAAATGCCATCTAAAAATGATATGTATTAAAATAATAATTTCTAATATGTATTGTACTGATTACTGTGCATTGTAGTATCAAAAGACTATAAATTGCAAGATTACGCAGCTTCGAATCAGCCCCATATGAACGATTAATAAATTACAACAACAATTTGTTACAATTACTGCGAACAGTTATTCATCGTGTCTTCTACGCTTCGATAAAATCGATCCTCCGTCATCTTATAACAATTTTTCCTTAACTTACAGAAATTGTCCAACTAATACCCGGCTTGCATTTTGCATATTACATGTACATTACATGTACTTCGAACTGTACGTAACATATAACATTGTTTCGCAGTACATAAAGTACGTTACTGCTCATAAGTCAGAATTATTGCACGTCACAAAGATATGCAGTTGAAAATAATTACATGTAAATTACAGGCTAATTGCGTGTAATTGCTTGTAATTTACACGAGAAAAGGAATTAATCTTTAGATATCAGACAGCTACACTACTCATCCATTATAAATGCGAACTCTGAGTTGTTTACACTCCCCTAACCTCTAAAGTAAAGTAACCTCTCCTCTACCTCGTGCGCTCTACTTACTCCCTAATTATTCACTAAATATGAGTAGATGTTTAAACAATCGATATCGATAACCATACCGCGACGTTAAGCGAAAAGTTCGTAACAACGTTCTATGAATTAATTATTATAACCTAAACTAATTATATGAATGTTGTTTCCTTTCGGCAGACTCAACGTCACTCCCACCAACCTAGTAACCGAACAACTAGAACAAGACCAGAACTTTTCAATCGGTGAAATGTGGATCGAAGCTTTGATTCTGCAGCGATGGAAAGCTATGAATGCCATCGAGTAATAAAAATCCAAAATTAAGTTTAAATGAACACGAATTTGCAGTATCATTGGGTCTTATACATATAAAACTTAGCGATAACTTGAACGTAACCTCATACTCCATGTTAATAAGACAGCCTACATTTTTTACCATGACCTTTTCATGTAATTTATTAGTGACAGTTTTTATTTAACAAGACGTAGACCAATGCTTCGATCCACTTGTAATATTCCACCGACACACAGATCGAGCACTACGAAAGTCTACAGATGATCCAAGTCCCAAATCTAATCCAGACTGGCTCATTTTCCACCTCTTACAACTTACAGAGCTTAACGATAAGTCCTAGTGTAACTACATTTCCTCGCAACAGAGGTTTAGTATGGAACACCAACGTTCCTAACCTATCCAGTGACTCAGCGACACTACAAGGTTCTTCACCATCGTTAAACTAAACGTCTAAACCAGGAGCCGAATTCCTGTGCATCAACGTGTTGCACCAACATTGCACAACCTAACCTCTGCGGAGCACCAGGTAGAACTAGACTCCGAAATCCAGTCCCATAACCTTGCAGCCTGATTTATTCTTCCGTCTTAACCTTAACTTAACGATAACTTAATCATTCACAGTGAAGAATTCAAAAGAAATGATTATACAAAATGTTAGGACTACGATAAGGATAGCATAAAGCCTTTTGATGAACTCTTCGCTGTAAACGATTAAATCAGGTTTAAGATTGAGATTAGAGTGGAAGCATAAGCCAGGCATCGCAGACTTGGAGCTTAACGATACCTCTTAACCTATCCTAACCTGTTTGCAGTGAAGGTTCAGTACGGTACGTGGATGTCCCTGGACCTGGATCGTCTTCTGCATAGTCGACAGACTGCTACGAGACAAGCGATGCCCAGAAGTAAAGCTAATCCTGCGCCCAGGTAAGCACCGGCCCATCCAGCGGTCCCAACGATGCTGCTTCCATTAGTGCCCACTGAATCCTCTCCGCAGGTCTCCACTGACTCGTCGTCTGGCTCCACAAGAGGAACTCCAGAGGTTAGGTTATGGGTGACGACCTGGCGAGGCCTGGAAGCAGAATTAGAAAATTCTCTGTAAAATTAAGGCGATACGAAAATGACAATCCAGGGATCGATCGTTCATGAAACTATTTTTCAAAACAAAACACCTCATACCGAAAGGTTTGAAAGTTTATCACGTGAGGCTGGAAACTCTAACGAAGGTCCTAATACTCATGAGAGTTTATATTTTGTTAATAGTAAGAATATAATCAAATTTAAACAAATTAAATTTTATAAGTGTCGAGACCATTCCTAAAAAAGTGTAGTTTGAAAGCTACAACTCGGATTCAAGTTTGCATCGAATATTCTTTTTCAGAATGAAATAGAGGTTATCGTCATATATTTCTTATTCGCTAGGTCTGGAATAGGGAATATAATAATATATAACAATGTTTAATAATATATAATATAAAAGTAAATTATCTACCTGGAGGAAATGGGGCAGTTGACGACACCGTTGCAGACCAGGGTGGCAGGGATGCATCCGACGTCCCCAGGACATCGGAAGCCACAATCCTCCAACTTCTGGGTGTTCAGAGCTCCGGAAGCATCCCGGGGCAATGGGAAGAGCTCCGTCCAGGCGATCTTTAAGGCCGCCCTGGCAGGTGCCATGGACCCCGTGAAGTGGATCATCACCGCAGGGTGGGAAGTTACCTCGGTGGAGACTCTCGTCTCTTCCGTGGGGTGAGACGACTACAATCAGAATTCCCAGTACGTTACATGACCCAGGTAATGGAACCAAGAATAAAAACCGTAACTATACAACCTAAAATGTAACTAACAATTAAGACGAAGTGTAAGGACATGGGAAATTATGAATAATTGCAAGAGAATGACGTATGGAACACATCAGTTCGTATAATTCTCAACGTAGACTGTAAAGTACTTCGATATAAATATAAATGTTGGTAACGTGGCGCACCAGCTTACGTTCCCACTTGAGTATCCAAAGTAGCGTTCCCACCAAAAAGGGTATAGATGGATTTTAATTTATCGACCTCGATGAAATATCTCAGAACCTTTCATATCACCTTAAATTGTTGTTACATTCTCTATTATACTGTTATATTACTGGATTTATAATTTTTGAGAATATATAAACACCACCTGTGAGCCTGGGGCTCCTCTCAGCTGGGACGCCGACAGGATTGTCGACTTCATCACATAGCTCAGGTTCTCTCCGCAGATCCCCAGATGCGGTTCCGCCACTGTCGGCAGGAAAATCTCCAGCTTGCCGTCCTCGCAAGACCTGGAGGCGAACTTGATCTTGTCGAAATGCAACGACAGGTCGCGTTCCGGGTTCACCCGCAACTCCCAGATGCACTTGATGGATCTATAAAAGTAAGGTTAAAAAGTAAAGTCAATAACCTAAATGGAGTGAAGTTGGATTTAAGACATACAGGTTGTGGCTCTATGTGATCCTACTTGACCGAAATATTTCCTACCGACGTAAATGGCTTAAATTGCTTTTAATTTCGCAATTAAGGTACGCAAAGCGAAACAATAATCGATGATATACAGAATGTGATGCTTTTAAGATAAAGATTAGCGGATGATAATTATTAATTGCAAAATTAAGGGTCGCTGATGTAATGATGCGAGCGCTCCTAGCGGAAAATGAGAGAACTCCGATCCTACTTGACCGAAACATTTCCTACCGACGTAAATGACCTAAAATTCTGTTAATTTCGCAATTAAGGTACGTAATGCTGAACGATAATCAATGATATACAGAATGTGATGTTTTTAAGGTGATAAACACTAACAGACGATAATTATTAATTGCAAAATTAAGGATCGCTGATGTGATGACGCGAGCGCTCTTTGCGGAAAATGAAGGAACTAGATCCTACGTCACCGAAACATTTCCTACCGACGTAATTGACCTAAAATGCTTTTAATTTCGCAATTAAAGTACGTGAAGCGAAACGATAATCGATGATATACAGAATGTGATGTTATTAACGCGATAAAGACGAAGAGTGATAATTTTGAATTGCAAAATTCCATCTCGACGTTAGATTGGAAAAATCTGGAGATCATGGCGTTGTATCTCATACTATTTAATTTCCACATCATTACCTAGGTGGAGCCACGTATCCCAATGCCTCGTAATGTGGAAAATCGATTTCCCCATCGGTGGAGGCTGGAATCAAGGCAGGACCACATAGAGGACTATGAGCGAACTCGTAGCTGGCCAGGAAGAGAGGAGCAGACTGCTTGAAGTAGCTGGAGGCTGCATGAGCACCGTCTACGAGGAGCTTCAGCTCCAACTTTTCGCCCTTGGAGATGAGCCTGAGAGGAAGATTGTTGCTGGTGCCGCAGAGACAATACCCGATGCTGGGTAGCTGATGATGGTGTTGTTGCTGTTGTTGCTGTTGCTCGGACTGGCCAGGTTGGCCTTCCGTCGAGGGTGCAGGCTCTTTGATGACGATCCTGTCCGTTCTGCTTTCCCAACACTGGTCGTTGCATTGGGCGTAAGGATGCTCCTTTAAATGATAACGGGGTAAAATAAGTACTGGCGTTGAATTATTGATAATTAAAATACCAGTATCTTAGTTAATAATTAAAACAGTGATATTTTAATTATCAATGTTATGTTACTTTTAATGAGAAAATATTAGGTTATGTGAATATTTTTTTTCCTTAGCGTGAGAAGAAAATGTACCGATCCTTTGGTGGTATCGATTAATCCCTACCTTGAAACCTTGGTAAAATAAGCACTGCCGTTGGAATATTGATAACTAAAATACCAGTATCTTAGTTAATAATTAAAACAGTGATATTTTAATTATCAATGTTATGATACTTTTAATGAGAAAATATTTCTCAGGTTATGTGAATATTTTTTTTCCTTAGCGTGAGAAGAAAATGTACCGATCCTTTGGTGGTATCGATTAATCCCTACCTTGAAACCTTGGTAAAATAAGTACTGCCGTTGGAATATTGACAATTAAAATACCAGTATCTTAGTTAATAATTAAAACAGTGATATTTTAATTATCAATGTTATGATACTTTTAATGAGAAAATATTTCTCAGGTTACGTGAACATTTTTTTTCCTTAGCATGAGAAGAAAATGCACCGATCCTTTGGTGGTATCGATTAATCCCTACCTTGAAGGACACCAACTCCACCGTCAGGATCACCCTGGAAAAGAGTCTACGGTTCGTGACGAAGGTGTAGGTGCAAGAAAGGTCTGCAGGTGGATCCCCAGGTCGCTTGTACACCAGGGTGTTCAACGGGGAACTCAGGCGACCCGACTGCGTCTTCCACGAGGCGAAGAGCTCGTCGCACTCGGTGTTGGGCACCGGGTCGCCGTACCTGTTAAAAAACAAGGTACGAATTAATAAAAATGGCAAAATTGGCCATATCGAGCCCGGAGAAAGGTTTCATCTCTCAGCTTTCATATCAGCTTAATTTAATTATATATTAATTTAATAAAGATTCTTACCTGGTGGCGTTGAAGAAGTCGTAGTGCGCCCAGTAGTAGAGGGAACTCCCGGAGTAGCTCCCGGTCTTGCTCTCGAACCTCACGTAGAGGGCGTTGGAGGTGGAGACGAAGTCATGCTTCTCCATGGGCTTGCTGAAGGTGTCGCAGAAGGTCTTGATGATCCTCGCGTCGTCGGCCCAGTCGGCGTCGTAGAGGGTCAAGGACTCCCCGCAGTCCCCGTCGTAGGGCTGGATGGGCGACTCTATTCGGTTCACCCTGAAGCTGGGGAAGTACAGTCTGGCGATCTCCCCAGGACGACCCTTAAGGTGAAGTGAAATACGTCGAGGAACTTGATCGACGTCGATAAAGAGGATTTTTCTAAATGCCTACGTTGCCGACGTTGGTTTTTATATCGACAGCTGGGTCGAATTATACTGGGTATTGTACCAAATGGCATACTCCACCTGTCGTTTTCGTACAATAATTATAAAGAAATCCAAGTAAAGTTTCCGAGGCCCTAGTTGACTACAGAGGGACCCCCTGCGCCATCTGTGATTTCCAGGTCAATTCAATTTTCACTCCGAGACCTCGTATTACCATCGTTTTAGCATAGAAGCGCATACCACACTTTTTTGGCCTTTATCCCGTTGAAATGCGAGTTTATCGATTACCAGAGTGTTCTAAATTGTCCTGACCCTTTTGCTTCTCATATTAGAGTCTTTAATAATTGTATATCGATCGAAATATGAGAGCTATATCGTCGAATTATACTGAGTATTGTTCTAAATGACATACTCCACCTGTCGTTTTCGTACAATAATTATAAAGAAATCCAAGTAAAATTCCAGAAATCCCCTGGATTCATGGTTTCCGACGCCCTAGTTGACTACAGAGGGACCCCCTGCGCCATCTGTGATTCCCAGGTCAATTAAATTTTCACTCCGAGACCTCGTATTACCATCGTTTTAGCATAGAAGCGCATACAACACTTTTTTTGCCTTTATCCCGTTCAAATGCGAGTTTATCAATTACCAGAGTGTTCTAAATTGTCGTAAAATTGTCCTGACCCTTTCGCTTCTCATATCAGAGCCTTCGATAATTGTATATCGATCGAAATATGAGAGCTCGACGCCATTTTGGTTCTGGTCTGAGCTAAGTTAAACATTTCTTTTCCAAAAATCCAAATTTTCAATGCGTAGGAACAATTCTTAGACGATCAGAAGTGACGTATCAAAGTTTCGGACAGTTTGGTCCAATACCCTTAAAAAAAAGTGTATTCGAATCGACCGATTTGAAGGGGGTTTCACTTCACCTTAAGGTGGTAGCTGCAACTCGTGTAGGGTGGGTACCAATGGCCGACCGACATGAAGATGCCCTCGTCGCCGCTTTCCAGGGATTCGCTGCTCAGCAGCCAATCGCAGCTTCCGTTCTTCACGCCAGTGGTCTCCACGTGGCCTGGCCACGTGCCGACCTTAAAGTGGAACCCGGTGTTCAGCAGCGGCCCTGCCGGCGAGGACACGAACTCCACGTAGAAGTCCTCGCTCGTCCCGATTATGCTGTAGGGGAACTTCCCCATGCCGCAGAAGATGCCAATCACCGGGGCCGTGTCGTTCTTCCCTGATATTAATATAAATATATATTAATGTATAATAAATGATATAATAAAAGTGGAAATATTTTTTTTAATTTCTCTCCAAACTTGGCTAAAACTGGGGAGAAATTTGAAACTTCCACGACTATCTATATCCCGGGTATCTTTATTGGTTTATATCATCGTCGAATCCGTTGCGAAAGAATTTCAGTCTCTTAAACTGTTTTTTCAATTTCTTTATAAATAATTGCATGTTATAAAAAACAACGACATTTTGAGGAATTAGCACGTTTACACGATTTGTGTACAATGAATTGGTCACGGTATGACCCAACAAGGATTGTGTTCTTCAACAAATATGAAAATTAATAAGATCGGCGGCGGACACTTGGGAATGTTTCCTTGTTAGCGAAAGGGTCGCTATCCAAAGAAACAAGAAACAAAAAATAAGAAGAGCCCGTACCGTCGTAGACTCTGATTTGAAGAGGGTTTCACTTCACCTTAAATGTGGACCATTCTAGAGAGAAAAAAAAAAGAAAAACACGTGTCTCTTAGATTTTTGTGTTCTTCAACATATATGAAAATTAATAAGATCGGCGGCGGACACTTGGGGATGTTTCCTTGTTAGCGAAAGGGTCGCAATCCAAAGAAACAAGAAGAGCCCGTTCCGTCGTAGACTCTGATTTGAACGGGGTTTCACTTCACCTTAAATGTGGACCATTACAGAGAGAAATAAAAATAAAAACGCGTGTCTCTTAGATTTTTGTGTTCTTCAACATATAAAAAAATTAATAAGATCGGCTGCGGACACTTGGGGATGTTTCCTTGTTAGCGAAAAGGTCGCTATCCAAGGAAACAAGAAACAAGAAGAGCCCGTTCCGTCGTAGACTCTGATTTGAAGAGGGTTTCACTTCACCTTAAATGTGGACCATTACAGAGAGAAATAAAAATAAAAACGCGTGTCTCTTAGATTTTTGTGTTCTTCAACATATATGAAAATTAATAAGATCGGTGGCGGACACTTGGGAATGTTTCCTTGTTAGCGAAAGGGTCGCTACCCAAGGAAACAAGAAACAAGAAACAAGAAACAAGAAGAGCCCGTACCGTCGTAGACTCTTATGTAATCATAGGGACAATGTTCCGCCCCGGAGCTGATGGGTCTCATGGGGCACGTCATGATGTTCTCGCAGCGCTGCCCGTCGATGTTGAACTCCTCGTTCTCGATGTAGAGCTTGATGAAGGGCTGCCTGGTGTTCAGGTGGTACTTGCAGTGCAGAGCCCTGGGATAGACCCCGGGAAAGGCGGGACTCTGCACGTAGCATGTCTGCAGACGGCAGTCCTTGAAGACGCGCTCGCAGTAACTCCCGGGGACGATCTCGCCGCGCCGGTTCGGGTAGAGCTCCGGGTGTTGTCCGTATCTGTTTTGGAGCAATGACAATCCCAATTAACACTGTTATATAAATGTTGGGTAAATGTTACATTTTCTAAACTAACGCGTTATGTAACATAGAAGTAAGATGGGAGACATCAATGCCCTCTCATCCTGCACAGGCGATGCCGTATCTGCAGAGGAGGCATTCAAATTTTACAACGTGAATGCTTAGGCTATAAAGAAGGTCCTGACAATAACAATATAACAAATAGTAATGAGATAAAAGCAAGTATTATGTAGTAAGAACGTACACTGGGAGACATCAATGCCCTCCCATCCTGCATAGGCGATGCCGTATCTACAGGGAGGCATTCATGTCCGCCATTGTACCGAATCGCTTCAAATTTTACAACGTGAATGCTTAGGCTATAAGGAAGGTCCTGACAATAACAATATAAAAAATAGTAATGAGATAAAAGCAAGTATTATGTAGTAGGAACGTACACTGGGAGACATCAATGCCCTCCCATCCTGCGCAGGCGATGCCGTATCTGCAGGGAGGCATTCATGTCCGCCATTGTACCGAATCGCTTCAAATTTAAATCGCATTAAAATTAAAATCGCATAAAAATAAAATCAAATTTAAATCGCATTAAAATTAAAATCGCATAAAAATAAAATCAAATTTAAATCGCATTAAAATTAAAATCGCATAAAAATAAAATCAAATTTAAATCGCATTAAAATTAAAATCGCATAAAAATAAAATCAAATTTAAATCGCATTAAAATTAAAATCGCATAAAAATAAAATCAAATTTAAATCGCATTAAATTTAATATACGCGTAATCATCCAATACCTCTGATAGTCATCGTACAATTGCTCGGCACGCGAGTCGAAGCTGAAGTACGTCTGATCCGTGAAGTTGTCCGCGTGGAAAACCACGCGGACGAAGCTCGTCTCCGAGATGAAGGTTTGCGGTTGTTCCGTTTCCCCGCAGAAGACGCCCGGGTCCTTCCTGTTGCTCACCTCGGTTTTCGTATTTCCGTCGGTGATCTGCAACCCGACAACAGGACCTCCATCATGTTAAGGTGAAGTGAAACCCCCTTCAAATCAGTCGATTCGAATGGAACACTTTTTTTTAAAGTGAAGTGAAACCCCCTTCAAATCAGATTCGAATACAACACTTTTTTTTAAGGGTATTAGACCAAACTGTCCGAAATTTTGACACATCACTCCTGATCATCTAAGAATTGTCCCTACGCATTGAAAATTTGGATTTTTTGAAAAAAAATAATGTTTAACTTAGCCCAGACCAGAACCAAAATGGCGTCGAGCTCTGATATTTCGATCGATATACAATTATTAAAGACTCTAATATGAGAATCGAAAGGGTCAGGACAATTTTACGACAATTTAGAACACTCTGGCAGGACTTGTTTAAAAAATCAGGTTCCACCTCGTTTAGATTAATTAATTGCTCGCTACCACTGCGCCGATTAATTAACCGCGGTAATAGTAAAACAAGAAGCCACCGATAATTGCCGAGTGAATTTCCCTGAATAAACCAAAATGGCGTCGAGCTCTCATATTTCGATCGATATACAATTATTAAAGACTCTAATATGAGAATCGAAAGGGTCAGGACAATTTTACGACAATTTAGAACATTCTGGCAGGACTTGCTTAAAAAATCAGGTTCCACCTCGTTTAGATTAATTAATTGCCAGCTACCAATGCGCCGATTAATTAACCGCGGTAATAGTAAAACAAGAAGCCACCGATAATTGTCGAGTGAATTTCCCTGAATAAACCAAAATGGCGTCGAGCTCTCATATTTCGATCGATATACAATTATCGAAGACTCTGATATGAGAATCGAAAGGGTCAGGACAATTTTACGACAATTTAGAACACTCTGGCAGGACTTGCTTAAAAAATCAGGTTCCACCTCGTTTAGATTAATTAATTGCTCGCTACCAATGCGCCGATTAATTAACCGCGGTAATAGTAAAACAAGAAGCCACCGATAATTGCCGAGTGAATTTCCCTGAATAAACCGGGAATTAATCGGTGCCGAAGCAACGAGTCGGTAATTAGCGCACTTTCCCCCCTCTCGACGTGGCGATCCCCTAATTGACCTGTGTCTAGTGATAAGAGAGAGAGGCGACAATGGGTGCCGTTCTTTCCGCCAAAGAGATCTCGAGGGGCTTCCCTCTCCTTCGAGGTGATCGATTGTTCGCCCCGGGCCGGAAACCGCGATTAAGTGCCCCTCGAGCACCTCTTCCGGTATAATCACGCAATAAGCTACTCGCGATCCAGGAGGAGCCTCGACTTCCTAGCCCAGTTTTCGAGACTCGACAGGAGCCAACTTCAAAGTGCTTCGTGGGGGTCTCTTGAAAATCGACCTTGAATTCCTGGGGAATTCCACGGCTGGGGATATCCGCAAATTATTTCTTGAAACTGGTAGTTGCATTTTTAGTAACTTTGTACTAGAGAACTTCAAGGTGGTCCCTGGAGGTCTCTTGAAAATCGACCTTGAAGTTCCTGGGGAATTCTGCAGCTGGGTGGTTTCTTATTTCTTGAAATTGAGAAGAAAAAATTCCTAGTTGCATTTTTAGTAACTTTATACTAGAGAACTTCAGGGTGGTTCCTGGGGGTCACTTGAAGTTCGACTTTGAAATTCCTAGGGAATTCCGCGCCTAGGTGGTATCTTATTTCTTCACGGTCAGACGAATTTCGCCCATATGTCGAAATGGCTGCGAGTCAAAGGGTTAAGGTGATATGAAATGGTCATTCTATATAAATAAAACGTAAAAGTGTCGATAAAACTTTCCTCGAGGTGTTTCACTCCACCTTAACCATTTGGCTCCTAAGAGCGCCTAAAGGCGCCCGACGTTTGGTCCAATATCGCGTTCACGGTCAGACAAATTTCGCCCATATGTCGAAATGGCTCCGAGTACAAAGGGTTCACTTGATATGAAATGGTCATTCTATATAAATAAAACGTAAAAGTGTTGATAAAACTTTTCTCAGGGTGTTTCACTCCACCTTAACCATTTGGCTCCTAAGAGCGCCTAAAGGCGCCCGACGTTTGGTCCAATATTGCCTGCACGGTCAGACGAATTTCGCCCATATGTCGAAATGGCTCCGAGTACAAAGGGTTAAACTCTCGCATTGAAAATCGGACTTTCGGGAAAAGAGGAGGATGAAAATCTAATTTTCAATCCCAAGAATGGATTCTCACCTGGAGGTATCCTCCGGCGCACGTGGTGGCGTTCACCAGGACGCCGACCTTGAACTTCTTGAAGCGCACCCTGAGGATCCAGTCGCGAGGCGTCCCCCGGAAGGCGCGGAAGCGGTACCAGCAGGTGAGGGGCTTTCCCCAGGTCGCCGACGTCACTGCCGGGCTGGAGACGTCCTCGTAAATGTCCACGGTCTTGTTGCAGTGGTCCCGCTCCGCTGAAATCGGAAATCCTCAATCAATCCGTCTTAAAGCACAGCCAAATTCGATTTAAAGTTCTTTCATAATAACGCCATCTTGGATATTTAACCCATTGGCTCCTAAGAGACGTTTGGTCGAATATTGCCTGCACGGTCATCCGAATTTCGCCCATATGTCGAGACGGCTCCGTGTTCAGAGGGTTAAGGTGATATGAAACTGTGATATACACATAAGAGTGATAATACCGATAAAACTTTATTCCAAACTATGTCCAGGGATTAATCTGAAACTTTAACGCGTGATTATGGAGGCCCTAAGAAAGAACGCCTTGCCCGTGAAATTTAATTTTTTCTGTTACGGTGAAACACCGAAATCTGGAGAATGTCGATTTTCACCGGTGAATGTCAACATTCACATAGTCGCTTAGTGTATGTCCGAAATATTTGCTAAATACCCTTATTTCTGACTTACACCGGTGAATGTTGACATTCACCGGTGTGTGATTGTCGACACACACTGGAGAGGGTCCGAATGTACAACAATGTAATGAAATATTCGATCTTTCACCGACGTATTTGGTATCTGTTGACATTCACCGGTGAAAGTCGACATTCTCCAATTTCGGTTATTCACGGTAACATGTATATATCACACTATCGTATCACCTTAAGGCCGTTATAAATATTGTAAATATAGGGTTAAGCCACGAGTGCAAGGGTAAAGGGGGTGAATGATCTTCCTTCCGCTTTGCGGCGTCGTTGAACCGCAAAATGGCGGCTTCCGGGCTCTCATTGGTTAATTCTAGTCCCTTTCCCTTGTAGCGCTTGTCACCCTTGGGCAAAGCAGCGATCAAGCGGAATATCCTATTAGCACTTCCGCGACAACTTCGGCCTCGTACGGTGGTTAAAGCGGCGTGAAGCTCGCTGTTTTACCGACCGAGTCTCTTTTACCCTCGTCGTAAAGGCACGCTGCTATTCGCATTCGCCCTATTAATTATTCATGCACTGGAAATTATGCACCCGCATTCTGGCATCGACTGAAAAAGATATTCACTCGTCCTCGAGCTCGTAATTGGACGTTTCCAACATGGCGTCGCTAGTGCCAAACCATTAATGCGCACGGCTGTACAAGTCGAAGTGGAGGCTTTCATTTTTAAAATGGCGCCGCAAATCATGAATGCGCTCCACTGTACGACTCAAAATGGTGGCTTTCATTTATAAAATGGCGTCGCAATTCATGAATGCGCGCTCCTGTACAATTCATCATACAGGGTCGATCACATTTTATTTTTTAAAACGACATCGCATAGCATTTGTGCGCACTACTGTACACCTCGAAATAGAGATCAAACTTCCATATGTTAAACGACCCTGCAAACCATTTATGCGCGCTCCTGTACATTTTTATCATACAGGCTTGACTATACTTTTATTTTTAAGGCGGCAACAAATCCATTAATTCACGCCGCTGTACGACTCTAACTAGTGGTTCGATCAAACTTCCATTTTTAAAACGATACCGCATTTATGCGCGCCACTGTACAATTTATCATACCGGTCTGTCAATATAGTTTTATTTTTAAGGCGGCGAAAAATTCATTAATGGACGCCGCTGTACGACTCTAACTAGTGGTTCGATCAAGCCTCCATTTTTAAAACGACACCGAATTTATGCGCGCCACTGTACAATTTATCATACCGGTCTGACTCTACTCTTGTTTTTTAAGGCGGCGAAAAATCCATTAATGGACGCCACTGTACGTCTCTAACTAGTGGTTCGATCAAACCTCCACTTTTAAGACGACGCCGCAAAAGATTTATGCGCGCCCCTGTACAACGGGTCACAGGTGCGGGTACGATTAGGAATTTACCTCGGTTTATTGAATTCCCCGGGTTTTACGAGGGCCGGCGGACATTTCCCGCGCCGTCTCTGTACGGCTCCGATTAGGAATGCATTTTTCAGGAGCCGCCCGGAGCGTTAACGCGCGCCACTGTACCGCGGGTGCTCGTTCGATTAGAAATTTATCGCGGTTTGTCGAATCCCCCGGGAGCATCTCCGCTGGAGCACCTGTCGCGTCGAATTCCCGGCCTCGGGAAGTGGAGAGATCGATTCGAGGATCGCTCTTATCGGAACGACGAATAATGGCTCACTCCAGATATTGTTTCCCTCCCTCGTGAAAAATCTCGCGAGACAATTCGGGACACTCGTACGTTTCCCGGCGTCGCATAAATCGAAACCTCCCATCGCATTAAGATGATACGAAAGGCGCTGAGCAATTTAATCCAAGTCGTGATATTAAAATACATCTATACCCTTTTTGGTGGGAACGCCATTTTGGATACTCAAGGGGAACGTAAGCTGGCGCGTCCCTTTACCGACATTTATATTTACGTCGAAGTCTTTTACAGTCTACGTTGATAATTATACGAAATGAAGCGTTTCATATGCCATTTTAGTAAAATAATGATGAAGAGATCGACGTAAAACTGTCGAAATCACGGGAATTCATTATTCTAACGACTGTTTAGGACCAGGGGCGCCATCTGTGACGTTTGGCTGTAACTAATTTTTTCCTCTAAAAACCCGCGTTAAGCTCCGGGACGAGCCAGCGTGTGAACTTTTATGTGGGAAATCGCATAACAATATATATATAATTATATATTGTTTAAATACTGAAATAAATATTGTTTAAATAAAATACATATATATATACAGGCTGGCTCTTTCACATCACCTTAACCACTGGCGGATGAGATACGAATGATTTTCGGCCTTACCCTTCCGAATGGCGGCCGGACTGGGGTTGGCGAGGACGAGGAGGGCAAGGGCCAGGGGACCCCATCCCCAGAGCCATCCCCAGGCCCAGAGCCACCCCCAGGTTCCGGAAGCAGCCGTGGGTGCTCCCATGGCCTTCCCCCGAGTCTCTTCTCACCCTGCTGCTTCCGGCTTCATCTGCCGGCGAGGCCAACCTGCGCATACAAGGACCATGAAGAAAGTCACAAGAATTTCAACTTAATATTTCTTCAATTTCAAAATTCATCTTAATATTTCTTAAATATCAAAATTCATCCAACTCGTGACGTAACATTATTATTAATATTATTCCCCCATATTACAAATTACACTTCAGCTAAAGGAAAGAAAAAAAAAAAACACTGCGCATACAAGGACCATGAAGAAAGTCACAAGAATTTCAACTTAGTAAGAAATTTCAACGGATACATTTTGCGATATAAACACTGTGATTTTATTATTTAATGTATTGGTAATGGTAACGATCAAAATGGCGGCGAAAACCCAGTGAATATAATTGCGACAGGAAAAGAGGGTGCATTTCTAGGCACTAGCCTAACAAAGTTCATATACATTATAGCATTAAAAGATAATGAAACATTAACGAAATTACTTAGCAATCTTAAAACGCGAGTAATATAACCGAATTATTTGATATTTCAGCAAAACCGTGCAGAAATCAAAATGGCGGCGGAAACTCAACGCGATTCTAACTGCGATGAGAAGACATAAACTCCCGTAAACCCTGATCTAATTCTGCCAATATTTATCTCTTATTGAGAATAATTAAACACGAATGAAATCGTAGAAATGTCTGAAAATATAAATAATACAACAGTTTTATTTTATATTTCAGCGAAGCCCACAGAATCCAAAATGGCGGCGAAGACGCGCGCATATTTCAAAGCGAGTTTAATTACGGCGAAGCATCGTCAACTCCTGCATACCCTGACCTGGTTCATAAAATAGCTCATTCTTACATTAAAGAAGATCTAAAAACGAACGAAGTTGCCTGTACGGCCTCATTTGAATAACAAATTGTCTGGCACTTCGGCGAAGACGCGGAAAAAGGAAAATGGCGGCGAGGGGTTCGCCAAAGCGAGGGAAATCGGAGCAACGATCGCGTGTAAACTGCGGCCGCAAACAAGAGATTTGCGTTTGCGTTTGTCAGAGTAATGGCGGTCCATTTCCGAGTCGTAATTTTTGCCCATTGTTGTCGGTTTCAATGCTACCGGCGGTTTGTCACGAAATGAAAATAGTCGACGCGCGAGCATTGTCCGGCCGAGTAATTACACCGAGGTTTACCCGGTTACACGGCTCGATAACCTAAAAATATTTACCCTACCTAACCCCCAATTTTCCCGAAAAATTAAATTTTATCCTGCTCCCATTAACAAGAAATAATATCGCCTTTACTCAAGCGGCTCGGAAAAATTACATTTCAGGTCCAGATTTTTAGGTTAAGTTTCTTAACCCAAATCGTTCTCACTTGTAAAACGACGATATAAGACACTAAAAGGGTTAATGCTCACTTCACTGTTTTTTAAATCAACACACAGATAAAAAACTACTTATTTCAGAATATGAACAATTCAATAACATTTATTCCTTATTTCTAGGTAACGATTAGAAAGTTATTTTTTATATAGAGTTAAGCTTTAAGTGATTATTTTTAATCTATGTAATTTTGTTGACTGACGAGTGCATAAGTTAATGTTATTAATAATTCCTTGCCGTAGCTTTATAAAATAATGAGAGGCAACGAATTGACTCTTTTATTACAAAAATCCTTCTGGCTAGAAATTAAAATTGGCTTTACGAGGTTTCATTCCCTATCGGTTTACAAAATGGTTTCACTGTGAAAATGAACGTGGTTGTTTAAACTAAATATTCATCTTCTACAAAAATAGTGAGAGATCGTACCGTCAACAAAGGCAATTAAATATTTTGTCCTCGAACAAAACCCTTCAGTGTAAAAAAAGAAAATATATATTGTTATAAATAATACTATATAAATGTATAAATAATATGAAAATCGCAATATTTCATGTATAAGGATTTAAATTCTCTTCGTAGCATTTTAACCTCCACCGAATACTAATCATGAAATAATCTGAGTTTCGGCTAAATATATTTTGAATATTAATTTCCTTAATTGGAAAATGGTCTCGGTACTGAAAATGTAATAACGTAACCTACAAAAATAATGGAGAACTAGGGGTAACTCTGGCTGGTTAAAAGTCAGTTTCGAGCCTTCTTGATCCACGTGGATAAGTGTTTAACCTGGAACGCAGCCAGAATGTACAACGTAAACGCGTTTGCCCTCCACCACCACGAAACTGCGCAAACATCTTAACAGCGTTACCTGCTACGCCATAACCTCAATCGCCTGGAGCGCGAGTTACTTAACCATTTCGCACCTGTGGCCGAGTTATGGCACGAATTGGTCCTTATGAACATCTTAACAGGTTTGCACAGTGCATCGTTAGCCACATCACATCTGCAAGCTATCAGGTAAATTTACATGCGGTCTCCGATAACCTCAACAACCCTCGGTACCTTAACTTAACTATTTGGTCTTTGCAGGTAATCATGCAAACTGACTTGTACAAATATGTTAGTACCGTTCGGTGCACCATCGTAGCCATTTCACACCTGCGATCGAGTTATCGCACAAATTGGTACTTGCGAACATCTTAATGGCTTCGCACTGCACATCGTTAGTCACTTCACATGTGCAAACTGGCAGGTAAATTTACATGCAGTCTCCGATAACCTCAACAATCCTCGATATCTTTGCTTAACTATTTCATCGTTGTAGGTATTTGTGAAAACTGACTCATACAAATATCTTGATACTGTTCGGTACACCGTCGTAGCCATTTCACACCTGCGATTGAGTTATCGCACAAACGTAAATGTATTTCTACTCGATAACTTCAATAATTCACAGTACGATTCATGAATAATTTAATTCTGCCGATAATTTAAAAGATAAATGTAAAGTTTGCGCGATAAAGTGTAAACTGACGTATTCAAATATCCTGAAGAGTCGGTACTCGTACTTCACTTTTACTATTACGAGGCATCTTTTATCTGTAGTTTTAATGTAGCAAAAATACATCATTTAATTTTAAAAGTGAGATACAAGTACGAGCCAGTGTTTAATACACCATTATAACCTGAATTCTTTCCAGCACCGTTTACATAACCGTTTCATGCCAGCAATCGAATTATTACGTCGATAGATCTCTACCGATGCCTTAATAATTTAACACAGTACATTGTTAACTACTCGCATCATCGAATCGTCATACAATCAAGTTAGTATAAATATTTTTAATGCCAGAATAACCATAATTATTTTCAGCATCCTTAACTTAATTATTTCAGATCTATGATCAAGTTATCACACAAATTAGTCTGTACAATTATTTTAACAGCAGTACGCCGTTAGTCGTTTCATGTCTGCAAATTATCATGCAAACAGACTTGTACAAATATTTTAAAAAACGTTTAATATTTCACGATACTTTACCTCTAGGGCTCGTTTAACGATCTTGGATCGGCAGTCGAACGATCACAAGAATTACGCTGAACGAAGACTCCACGCGGATGACCACTTTGCACTTGCAAATTGTTACTCAAACTGGTTTGCATAATATTTAAAAACATATTTCATTACTTCGATAGCCCAAAAAAAATATTCACACCATATCTTGCAGTAACTCCGATATTCCTATCATTATCGGCCAAAGCAAGAAAATTAACGTAAACAATTAAGATAAGCATCCTACAGTACATTCTTTTCACTCATCCCTTAATTGAAAGATATTTCTTAATTATCTTCTAATATTTTCACGTCAACGATTTGAATTTAATAATTTCCATTCGCTGACGATAAATTATTGCCATTGACTGTATGCTGAGAATTTCACTTAATTATTTAGTTACGTCTGACTTGACATATAAAAGTCATCTAATTCTACATTTTTATTAACAAAACATTATGCTTAGCCATTGTCGATGCAAATATGAAGGAATTTGTACAATTAATGTTCCGAAAACATTCAGTATTCATTTTGCATTCCAGGACAATAACCTAAAAATCATTGCTCGGCTCCTCTATAAATTAGACGATAGATAAGCGATTATATATATGTAGAAATATCGGGGTCATCTCAGTAAAAAATGTTGAGCGTTCGTTATATTTGAGCAGGGCAGGAGTAAGAAACAATAAAAAAAAATCGGAACGTGGAGCCCGTTTCCCGATTCGTTCCGTAACTCAATATAAGTAATCCCCCTAGACATGCGCGATAATTATCCCCCTCGAGAAATTCCGGCGTCGATCTTTCTCGATCCGCCGGCGTGCGGTGTGGGGCTCAAATCCGCCGAATCGCAGAAGTTCTATCGACCGGCCCAGCCGGAGGCCGTGCGACTAGTCGCCGCTTTTCCCGGGGGAAAGACCGCCGCGTTAAACCGGAGGGTTACAGGGGAAAGACCGACCGGCCAGACGCCGCGGCTCCAAGGGAAAGAGAGGCGAGCGTGACTGTATGGGTACAGGGGAAAGAGTTGCGAGTGAGAATATACGAGTATAGGGAAATAGTGACGAGCGTGGCTGTATGGCTACAGGGGAAAGAGTTGCGAGTGAGAATATACGAGTATAGGGGAAATAGTGACGAGCGAGACTGTTGGGTACAGGGGAAATAGTGACGAGCGAGATTATACGGCTACAGGGGAAAGAGAGGCGAGCGAGACTGTATGGCTACAGGGGAAAGAGTTGCGAGTGACAATACACGAGTATAGGGGAAATAGTGACGAGCGAGACTGTATGGCTACAGGGGAAATAGTAACGAACGAGACTGTATGGCTGCAGGGGAAAGAGTTGCGAGTGAGATTATACGGCTACAAGGGAAAGAGAGGCGAGCGAGATTATACGGCTACAATGGAAATAGTGACGAGCGAAATTATACGGCTACAGGGGAAACAGTGACGAGCGTGACTGTATGGGTACAGGGGAAATAGTGATGAGCGAGATTATACGGCTACAGGGGAAATAGTAACAAGCGAGATTATACGGCTACAGGGGAAAGAGCTGCGAGTGAGAATATACGACTACAGGGGGTCTATTACGTAAAGCAAATTGAGCGAAAATGTGAAAAATGAGGAGCTCGCGGTATTACGGAACGTTTTTGGTGGTGAAAATGCGAGACCATTC